GAGTTGCATTCAACAAAAGCCGATGGATTTACGAATAGCACGGTTTATTTACACACAACATACAGGTTCTTTGGGATTGATGGTGAGAAAGTTAAAACTACGGGTATAACTAAAGATTTATCGCTGATAACAACAACACACTAGATATAGATATTTATATATGTGTATATACGCGCACTCACACACAAAGCAATAACACCTTGCCCGCGGTAGGCCCGGATGCCTGGCAAATAGACAAGCTCGTTGAACAGAAAACACAACAGACCAAGAAAAGGTAAAGTCGTGACAATAATCAAAGGTACACTCAGGGAAGCACAGAAATGCTCCTGAGGAGAAAAATATGAATACACCCGGGGAGGGAAAGTATATCTCTCAGCGTTGGCTGAGGTAAATACTCTTACCCACACGGCGTCCCAAGTGGGGGGGATGGCGAAGGAGCAAATTTGTCAATCCCTCCTGTCATCAGTGTGGTTCCGAGTCGACCCTGTCCCAATTTTGGGGCCGACATTGGGGTGATATTTATACTCGAGTTTTAACATTGCATCACCGGGGTGTACGTGCGGGTGGGGATGACTATAGACAATAGTGTTGCTCAAGTTAATGCCGCAAAGTCCGGTGATTTTACACCTGCATGGGTGGGGGGTAGTGGCTCCTTTTCTTTCGGGCTTAAGCCATCAGAAGACTGGGACCACGAGACCTCTGCCCCGTTTCACGCTCCTCCAGGCACCCAGATAACACCAGCTATTGGATATTGATCTGGTGAGGGTTGCCACACTCGCCCAATACTTAGCACCTCACCAGTGCTGGGTCTAGGGCTTCCAGGCATAAGGTTGCAGGGTGTACTTGGTGACTCAGACTTTGTCATTAACTGCATTCTCTTTACAAATGAACAAGAAGAAATTTGTCAAGAAGAAATGAACAATTTTCTCTTGAAGCCCTTCACACAAGATGTGATGATGCTGAGATGAGCGATCAGATACCTAAAATCAGATGTGGGAGGCTGGTATAAAGGTCTCTAGCAGGGCCAAGGTTTACACGCTAGCAGAGATTAGCGATGCGGTCAGTGTGGAAATTCAGCCCTGTGAGGGGAGCCTGGGCTGGGCAGGGGCAGCAGCGCTCCAGCCAGTGGGTAAACACTGCTGCGTGCCGAGCCAGGCAAGAGCCACCACAGAGCCCTGGAGCAGGGCTTTCTGGAGACTGATTCTTGTGGTTAGTTATTTATTAGTAGTTAATGGTACCAATCTAATGAATAATTAATAGTTCTTTGAAAACTGAATTTGTTTCTTCATGTGTTCCTTCCTCTTCCACTCTTTCTTTGTACCTCAGTCATCCCTAAGGGTAATTATTGTAGGTCTGCTAACACAGATTGTTTTGGTTTGGGAGAAAGCATGAGTGCTTTGGGAAATAGAACA